CCGCAATATTAAATGATTTAATGATCATTCCGCTCTCCAAAATGACCTTGACCTAACCTTCCGGTGGTGCGAAACTTGGCAGATGTCCCTTAACGCCTCTAAATGCAAGTTAATCTCGTTCACCCGAAAGCATACCAATTGAGCATTTCACTATAAGATTAATAACGCCGTTGTTTCAGCTACACCATCTTACAAATATTTAGGCGTTCACCCTACATCGGATCAATCCTGGACTACGCATGTAGCAGCTGTCTCATCGAAAGCCTCTCAATCTCTCGGATATCTCCGCAGAAACTTGCGCAACGCTCCTTCTAACGTACGCGCATTATCATATATTACTTATGTTCGCCCACAGCTGGAGTATGCATCATCCACATGGTCACCATATCAAGATTACCTGGTACGTATGTTGGAAGCCGTCCAGAATAGGGCAGCGAGATCCATCTCTGGAAACTACGACTATCATTCGAGCATTACCCTAATAAAACAAGACCTAGCATTTCAGTCACTGGAAATACGCCGCAACATTGCTCTTTTATATCTGTTTCATAGGTACATTTATAATAACGAAATTCACTGTTTGCCACTTTATTGTCCTGCGCGCACTTCCGGGCGCATTCATAATGCACGTAGTTTCATGCGCATTCATGGTCACACGCAGGCATTTAACTTATCATCACTACCTCGAGCCATTGCATATTGGAACGATTTTCCGGACCATGTTGTATCCATTTCTAACCGTGAAACTTTTCGTGGTAACCTGATTTCGTTGCACTCTAATATTGTATAACGGTGTGGCACCTTGATTTTTGTAATCTTTTTTTATATATATATTTCCGTCTGCTTTTTTCCTTTATTGTTATTTCGTTTGTATACCGATGCCCCCCTTACTCAATGCCCTTCAGTGGGTCTGTAAGGCATTTTGAATAAATAAATAAATAAATAAATAAATAAATAAATAAATATTTGAACTAGAGCCAATCTAGACAGCAAGCTGACGTTTATCAATATCCGTGTACGAGTTTGCTGCTAGTATTTGATTTCACCTCGTTTTGTAAAAACTTTTCTTAACCGATTACGATTTCACTTAAAACATACCTGACATGTTGGACAACGCGCCATTCGTATCAATGAAGTGGAAGATAAGACTGAAGTTTTCTTCGACGTGAACGGCTTCACCTGTGCTGAACCGGCACTGGCGAAGTCGTAGAAGCTGTTAAGACTTCACCTGTCCTAGTAGTTTTACGTTCATTGCGGCGAAACAGACAAGCAGACAAGACATGGGGCCGTCTACGACATCATCTGACAAGACCAATCGATGAAGAACAACGAGCGAAAATAGCTCGCCGTAACTGGCACGTAACAGTGTCTATAACTTATATTTGCGCAGTCAAAAGCGTGTAGAGGTCTCCCACTACCTGCATGGGCGGTCCCGTTGCACTCCCTTCACTTTGGGTTCTTCATTTGTATATTTCATGCGTCGTAGTTAGCTGGTAATGTAATAGTTAAATTTGATTGATTGATTGATTGGAGGTGGGTAAGAGGGGCAGTGACAACTAAGTAGCCTTGTTTTGAGAAAGGCACGCACAAGAAATCCTTTTAGGGTTCAGAAATTCATCTTCACTAACTCAAAGTTTATTGCTGCCGGATACAATGAATGTTTAGCATAAACGATTCCGCAATGAAGCTGCTTCTTTCTTTTTTTTTGTATGACAGAGGTGTTCGAATTGCCATAGGTATACGCAATGCATGGCATAACATGGTCGTGTTTATGATCACACTCGAATCCAACCGTATTACATTGAACTTCATTTACATTTAAGTTGAACTTCATTTACAAATGAAGTTCAACTTAATACGGTTATAATGTAATACGCTTAAGTCTAACCGTATTACATTGAACCTCATTTGCATTTATTTAAAATAATCTGTCCCATTTGCCACGCAGCGGATTTGCTTCGCGCTTCTGTGAAAACATGGCACATTAGGACTCTGCAACGTGCGCGGATAGGCTTTATGGCACCGAAACCGTTGGCGAACCGGTTCAGTAGATCGCGAATCGGCACACACCGCCATAAACTTTTATTTTTCCTATTCAAGAATATTATCAGGCGCAATCTTATTCTTCAAACCTGAACCGAACTGTCCGTTTGGGGGGGGGGGGAAGGGGGGGCGTGATAGTGCTTAAAACGACAAGCTCCGTTTCGCTTTGGGGCCGTATACCCCGGCTACGCACATCGACTTGTGCTCCGATAACAGCCTGCTAATCTGAAAAAAAAGTTTCCTTATATATCTCTCCTCTGTGTCTCTCACACAGCTATGAGTCGAATTCAGATAAGCCACCAGTTGAGCGTACCGCTTTGAGCTCCTTTTACAGGGTTATAAAACAGTGCATCTATTCTGGCAGCAGCGCGACGGATGCGGAACGACGAAAGAACGGGACATGCCGCGCAAGGCTCCTGCCACGTGCTGTTCACACAGTGAATCTGTATACCAGCTCGCTTAATGTTGCACGTAACTTGACCGTATCAAACTTTGCCTCACTGAAATAGACATAAGAAACCTGCGACGGCGCGACTACGTAATGTAAAACACGTGCGATGTGTAGACATGTTTCCGGCGCGCACTATTACCTTATCTGTCTGCTTTGCGCATGTTCAGCTTGCCACATTGTTCAGCTTCAAGGCTGAAGGAGTTTTCATTCGGACATCAATGTTGGCACTCTACTGCCTATTCTCAGGGGTTGTGTACACGTATACCTGTGCATTCTTCGTTAACGAATGCAATACATTGCAAAATTGTTGAGGCTTAATTAATTCAAGTCCAGAACAACGATATGATTATGCGGGACACCGCAGTATATAACGGGCTCCGCAAACTTTGACCGTGCACCTGATGTTCTTCAACTTGACCTCTCGATATACCACTTTACCTTTATCGAAACGTGGCTGCCGCGGCTGGGATTCGATCCCGCCACCTTCGGGCTACTGGCCGAGCACCGTAACCACTATGATCACCGTAGAGGGTCTCAATGAATCACACTCTACTGCCTATATTCATCGTATTCAGAAATGCTTATGTGATATACGTACATACTTTATATAGCGCCTGAATCAAGTATACAAGGCATTATTCGAACGTCTCAAGTATTCAAGCACCCCTACTTTTTTATAATAATACACTTTTTACGCACAAATATGAGTTTACGGGCTCAGAGGCGTACCAAGTGTACAACACCTCACACTGAACGTGTTTGCGCAATCCGCCGATCACCGCTATGACACGATTCGCCCAGTCGGCAGTCTCGTAATGCAAGTGTACCCGCCACGTGTCTGTAAGGCAATGCACGCACCTGTTCTGCTGCACACTTTGTTAATGCTGTGGCACCTGGCGCAGCTCCTGTTAATGATTAGTGGCAGAGCCGTTCGCAGGGGGTCGGAAACTTTACCCCATGCACTTAGTGGACCATTCACATTGTGAATTTGTTCAATTGCGTATAGAAGCGTAGAATTTTACCACAGACGTGGTGAAACTATTTAACGTTTTCTGCTGTTATTTAACGTAACTCTTCGCATTACCTGATGCCATTATAGTGTGTTTTCAAGCAAAACGTCCATTTACTAACCTGTGTTGGTGGTGGTGTTCTAAATAAAATCCTCCGCAGCCACAGCTGGTGTGCGCGCACCAAGTAAATGATGAATTAGAAAAAAAAAGACATTTTTTTTCCTGGAGCCCTGCGGTGAAGAGAGAGAGAAAAAAAATGGCCCGAATCTACATGTTACACTGCAAATGTCGTCGAAAGATGTTAGTCTTGCGTCTGGAGAGAGTGAACAAAACGTTTATATTGATGTTCTGCGCAAGAAAATCGGTGAGTGGTATTCTGGAGCCACTGCGTTAGGGAGTCTCGATCAGTGCAGCGAAAGCGAACGAGCGCATCGAGGCACGTTAGACACGAGCGCTACCTGGCAGTTATCTTCGAAAACGAAGGGAGGCGTGCGCGCCCGTCTTGGAGGCGAACGCAAAGCGACGGGCAGGTGCCACCACCGTGTCGTCTTAGCAAACCGTTGGAAGCACTTACATTTTTGAGCATCGGGTTGCACTGTCAGCGCAGCACGATTAACGCTATATACGGTCCTTATGTTTACTCATGTATGTTTTCTCTGGTATAAAGCCACGCATACAAAATATTGACGTGTTGTTATGGGGCCACAGATATGCGCAATGATTGTTTTTTAAATGACAATCGCACAAGTATGAACGCTGAAACTTGAGCAATATTGGTGGGCGCTGCGGATGGGGTTGGCCATTTGGGGTATCTTCAATGGTAGTATATAGGCATTCTGTGGTATCGTTACGGTGGACAAACAGACACATGTACAGACAGATGAACAGACAGACCAATATTTTCGCGTTGAAGTACCCCAAGAAAAAAACTATCGTCTCTAAAAATAAAAGAACATACACAGGAAGCAGAGAAGAAGACAGGAGAGCGGCTAGACGGCCAGCTGTGCCTCGCACTAACGTGCAAACGCACTTGCGAAAACGAACTGCTTGACAGTACAGACTCGTTTCCCTTTCATTTATCGTTTTTCAGTTTAGTTCCACGCGGAACCAGGCTTGCGTGTAGAGGTGTGTGGACGTCTAAGTCACTTCTTTCGCAAAGTTAAAAAAAAAAAACACGAACGTTAACGAGACTGGATGTACCGCGCACGCGGAACAAACTGCCGATGGTGTCAAACATGGAAGTGCGAAATGTACAGCGCACCGCGGTCTGCAGCTTTCTTGCAAGGCGATGCATACACATCCATAGAACAGCGGGCAAGTCTATACAGGCACAGCAGCGCCGGCTGGGCGCCACGTACACAGCAGCAGCCACAGCCACAGCAGCAGCAGTAGCGTGGTTTCGCTGCTTTCGACGGAAGTTCTGGCGATCGGTTTCTCCTCTCCCTCCGCTCGTATCGCTTGACGCTCCCCTCTTCGACTCGTACGTTGCACATAGACACACAGCACACGAGCAGCAGCAGCTGAGTGCGATCGCGTCGCGACGTGCGTATACGACGCACGACGCATAAGCGACAACGTGGTCCTCTCGATTTCATCCTTCTTTTGACGCCGCCACATGAGCTCCGAAAGAGCCGCGTCGGAGCCGTCCGCGGTATTGCAACAAGAACCGTCTTTGCAACGCAGAGGCCGACGTCGCCGTTTACCGAACGGGATGGACTATCCATCGGGAGGCAGCAGTCCTGCTGTCAAGAAGACCACAGTGCTAGTCATCGGAGCCGGACTCAGCGGTAAGAATGTGCACGTAACGGAAGGCTTGTTTTTGTTTTACTCTTGTGGCGCGCATCTAAACGTAGTGCTATAAGAAATATGTGACATGATATTTATGTTTTTTACATTGTACAGTTTATAAAATTTACCGATTTGAAAGTATATGCGCAAGGGTATCCACAAAGACAGCATACTGCAGTAGTCGAACAAGATGTGTCGCTGGAGCTAGCCTTTGTCGGGACTTTCACGAAGACGAGCTCACTTGTCGATAAGCTGACTTCAACGAGACAGTACTTCGCGATGAGCCTGGTAGGGGCAGTTGGTTTTACATAGTGTAAACATTTCCACGCTACAGAGAAAGAAGATCAAAGAACAAAAAGAAACGGGGCAACACAGGCGCGAGCACACAAGTGCTTTTTTTTTTTTTGCTGAATCCCGACACCATATATACACACAAAAAATGGGGATGAAAAAAAGAGAATTAGAACGAGGAGAAACACTGACACATGCGCAATAACTACATCACGAGAGGGGCTATGTAATAACTACATCACGAGAGGGGACCCGCGTATCTTGACATCTGGTAACTTCCTTACTCACCCCGGAAACATGGCTACTCATTGCAACATGCGTCGAAGTGATACGAAATTTGATAGCACTCCGATTGTTTCACGATATCATAACTGAAAAGAAAGAGAAATAATCGAAGCCTTTGCAGTGCCCCGTGCCGGCGCTGACAGGATAGCACTCCTTCGTTATAACTTACAGAGATGTGGAAGTATCATTTCTTCGCGGTATATAAGGTAGTTAACAAATGTCGAGATAGTGGGCGCCAGATTGAGGATAGCCCCTCTCGTGGCGTGCTTCTTGCGCATGCGCCGGCGTTTCTTTTCGTCCTTCTTATTTTCCCGTGCACCCCATTTTGTTATATGTGTATACATGGTGTCGTGATTCTGTAAAAAATAAAGAGTTGTGAGTTCGCGCTTGTGTTGCACCGCTTTTTTCCTTCTTCGATTTTCATTCATTGCAGTACGCACAAAGTTTACACACGGTACTTCGTATTATCTTGATCGTTTCAAATGCTCATGCTACTGCGGATGCGTACCTTTTGTATGTTATATGTATTCGTCTAGTAGTATGCTGCATTTTGTACATTCCAAGCTGTAATAAATGAAGTAATAGCTATCAAGAGCAAAAACACTCATCTCTTATCTAGAGAGAGAGAGAGAGAGAAATGAGAGAAAAAGAAAGGCATGGACGTTAACCACATGCTAGGATCCGGTATGCTTAGTGTAAGAATGGGCAGGCACCTATAAGCGAAATTTAGAAAGGCAAACTGGAAACAGTGTCTACGAGGTACTTCATGATTAAAACGTGTTTCTCGTGCCGAAGTTGCAAAAGAAGGGCGTGCACGTTCCTGCACGTCGCAGTCCAGCTGCCCCCTCATCTAAGAAACTGGGCAAAAATACCGCAGCTGGCATGTCAGCTGACGAAAAATCGGAGCATGTGCTGCGGAACAATGTTTCATCCACTAGCTGCAGTCTTTGTGTTACGGCAGTGCTGTGAGCATTCGAGTTGTCAGCGATGGGTCGCCATAAAGTGTACAGTTAACTGCCGAGCCTGTAATTACGTAACTTTTATTACAAAAAAAGAGAGAAAAATGCACGCTATGCCATCACTTTTACGTCTCCATTTTTCAAACTGAGGCTGGCAGTATATACTTTCTTTTGCGTTCCCCCCTGATAACGTGGTGGAGCTTTTTTTTTCTTTCAGATTTCTGTTGTCAACAGAACGTTAATAAAAGCTTCATTCTTGTCCTTGACGCTCGGATTCTTGTTCCGAGCCAGTACATTATTAAATCCGACTCTACAACTATTACGCTGCTGAACGCTGTTGCGTTATACAACCGGTTATCCGCGGCGAGTGACCCTAACTCCAATGCGCAAGGACAAGGAATAAGCGTGGTCGGCTCTTGCGCGATAATCACGTGCAGCACGCGACGTCATCACAAGGTGTCGATGGCAGAAGACGGTTCGGCCTTGTACAGTACTCGCGGATTGAAACAGGATAGTCGTAGCACATGGTCGCTGGTGCATGTGCCGCCGCTCGTGGGGGCTCGCATAACCAAGGTGTTGCATTCAGGTATAGAGTATAGAGACCAGACGGAGCAGGCGTACTCCATCTGGTCACTAAATAGTTGGCCACTATAGTTCACCATGTGCACACTGCCAGCGTGGCGCTGCAAAGCTCGCGCGCTTTTGCATGCATGCAGCCCGAATTCTGTGGACGGTGCGAACCATTCATATTGTGGTGCAAGCACACGACCCTCTCAATTGGCGCCCTTCGACGATTGGGCACGTAGGCTGCGCAAGTAAGAAATTGGATACCGCTAAGATGTCGCGCCTGAAATGCACTCGTGTGCGTAAATGGCTGCGCAAAAGCTTATAAAGTTTGTCAAGCTTTTTGTCACGACACAAAAGAAAAGCAGCAGCCACGGGACTGTTTCCGTAAAGCATCAAAACAGTGACTTAGTATTTTGTTGTTTCGCCCCGAGCAGTCAATATTGCGTGCGGCTATTCTGCGTGGCGAACATTTGTGGAGTTGTCGCCCACGGAAGAACGAGCGAGCTTCTGCTTTTTTTTTTATTCAACAATAGGCTACAGTTTGCACTAACGACACTAATACATGATATTGTCACGACGTCAAAACAGAGGTCTTGCCTCAGAGATTGAGACACCAGAAGCAGGTCGGTCGTTTTAATAGAACGCGCAAGCGAGTTTTTCTTTTTCGTCCATTTCATAGTCCTTCATGGCACATGCACGACTGCCATCGTCTCTCTTGAGCAAGCACGTGACAATATTATTTTCATGCTGCATGAAGGCAAGCCTGACACTCATTTTCTTTCTTGTCGATGCCAAAGCCAGAAGTAAACTTTCCATTATTATGTGCACATGTTTATCATGTTTACGAACACACGCAAGGCGCAATCTCCTAACTGAATCTTGTGTCTTAGTGTTCATGTGAACGTTTTGCGAGCGAACGCAATTTGCTACGCGAAACGTTGGAGACACTAGACAGTAGACCTTTTCCCGAAGAGAAGATACTTGGCTCATGGCTCTAAGCGTCGCTGGCCAGCAAAGCGACAGCGGGCATTGCTAAGTTTTCTAAAGACAACCGGACTACGCGACCGCTTATAAGCGTGCAATGGAAAGGTCACATCTACACACACCGTTGCCCTTCACTTCTCTCCTCTCTTCTCCTTTAATCCCTCACCCCTTCCCCCAGTGCAGGGTAGCAAACCGGACGTGCGTCTGGTTGACCTCCCTGCCTTTCATTTCTTCCCTTCCTCCTCCTCCTCCTCCTACTAGCACAGCATGCGTACCACATCGCCTAAGAACGCAGAACGACAGGGTCGTCTGCTGGCGTGGCAATAAAAGTGGTGCGCCGCAGCGAGCCAGTTCCGTTGACATGAGAATGTGCGTGAGCCTTGCAGCAACGCCATCCTGGCAGTGTACGCGCGGTGAACTACAGGCCGACAATTTTGTAATCGCAAGGAGTAGTCCTCCTCCATAGGTCTTCCCCCTATCGCCCTATACCAAAACGCAACACATTGGTTCTACGTGCAACCACGAGCGGCGGCACATGTACTGTCGGCCACACGCTCCGAGTGTCCTGTTTCAATCCGTGAGTACTGTAGATACGTGCACTTCTGCTAGAATATACATCACATGCATTATTCCTTATTCCATTTCCCACTCGGACATGGTATAAAAACTAGAGAGTCTGAAATTGAATTGTGGCATGTCAAGTGTTCGTTCAGTGACAGTGCTATGCAGCGAGAGGACAAAAACATATACATGGTGTTTTTTTTTCTTTAAGCAATGCAAAATATTTGTTAAATATCTCTTATATATAAGCACTTTTCGTCTTCACAGCCAATTTCGGAGGTGGAAAGATTTTGTCACTAATTAGATCAACTAAGAATGATTAATTGACAAAAATAATTGGATTAAGTTTTTAGTATGAATGTTAGGGTCGTTGTTTATACGGCGAAGTTGTTCTACACGTCGCAAATTATAGTGAACCTACTATTTAAAAATTTAAAATTTCCCGCGTGGTTTCAGAGATCCATCGTCGAATTTCCGGAGTGCAGTGCACCAAAACTATAACGGAACCGAAACTAACCGAGTGCACCTGGTGCGTTAGTTTCGACCCCTGAGTGATACGCGACGTTAAGAACTGTTTAGGCATTCGAAGACGGTCGCCATATTCAATAATTACTCCCATCCATTAATGAGAACACTCTTGTATCTGCAAGGGGAAACACTTTATTATTTTGCAGCAGCTCATAATGGCTTAAACTGTCTATGTTTTAGATTGCTGGATAGGCTGTAAAATATAAATATAAATTTTGAGCGCAATTTCTGCAGCATTTCTAAAGTTTTATTGTTAATAGCCAAATTATTTTACTTTGCTCAATTTCACATGTCAGAACCACAATGCGGTTATAAAGCACGTCGAACTAATTTGAACACTAGGAGTTTTTTGAACGTCCACCTAAATCTAAGCGCGCAAATGTTCTTGCATATCACCCCCATCGACAACCGGCCTATGTGGCCTGGAGTCGAACCCGATTACACAGGCATAGCTAGAACCTGCTCAGCTGCTAGGACTGGCTAATATATTGTGGCAGGTAAGCACCGTTCGTCTCTGACCAGCATCTGTAGCCTAGCCGGGCGGCAACAAACAGAGCCCACGCCCCCCCGCCCCTTTATATTTAACAAATTTTGCTTTTCCACAGAATGCACAGCACAAAATGGCACTCAACCACATATGCCTGCCTGCACCCCTTCTTCCATTCGAAGCAGTGCCCCTCCCCCCCACCTAAAAAAATAAGATCTTCTACTAAAGCTCTTGTTCGCTAAAAACATGTCCACCATGGCGGTTTGCTGATGTATGTTATACCAAATAACTCTAACGAAAAAAGGGTTTGCTGTAAATGAATGAGTAAAATTATTTTCACAGAATGTCATGGCCCAGACATGTCTTGACGCACGATGCAGCCATTCGTGTTTAGAAAAGTTTTATCTCATCATAGGACGCTACGAAAACATGGAAACAGTAGCTACACAACAAGGGCATTACCATACACAAATGACTTGTTTAGAAAATTTTATTTAAACTAAATTTATTTAAACTATGCTTGACAAATCAATGACTCTGTGTTTAGAAAATCGTTTGACGACTTAGAGTATAGTTCATGCTCTTTTATATGGCATAGCATAAGCCGTCCCAGATCTGAATTCGGCACACAAGATGATTGTTTGTTTAGCATAAATCAGCGCTTTAGAGTAAACACACACCACTAAGGAAGAGCCTTAAGCTGTACCGGATGAACGCAGGCGGGCAGGCTGCCAATCCTCAGCGTTTTATTTTTTTTTTCAGAAAAAGTATGTTCGACCATTTTCCGTACGACGTACTATACTAATGCTGTTCCAACACCAGCAGTCATCACACTAGTGTGTTTAGATAAAATATTTGACGATACACTTTGATATAGGTGAACATGTGTTTAGAAAAAGTGGGTAACGATTTTGAGTACTAGGTACTCTACTATAGGAGAGCTTAAAGCCCTCCAATTGGCCTCACCAATAGACAAAAATTAAGTCGTGACCGAGTTCATTGTTGTGTTTAGAGAAAGTGGGTAACGATTCAGAGTACTAGCATAGTTCCGCACATGGCATTCCACTATGGGAGAGCATAGAGCCGTCCCGTGGGCCTCACACTTCATGAGACCCTGCTGACTAATATGAACGAGCATTTAGAAAAAGTGGTTGACGATTCAGAGCACTAGGTACTCTACTATGGGAGAGCTTGAAGCCGTCCCGAGAACATGTTCAAAACACAGACATTAATGGTGCGTTGCCATACGGCGCGCTTGAATCTCGATTAACGAGCTGCTGACGGTTTGATAAACACAAATTCAGTTGCTTCCAGAGGTCATAACGATTTCAACAAGCTTATCGAAATGCGGCCCTCAAAGGCGGACCGGTCACTTTGTACCTGTATGCGCCATGTTCCAGTAACTGACAATTTATCAATCGGGGGTTTGTCACTGCTTAGCAGTTTTTCAATATGGAAATCTGATCTTTTACCGTAATGACTCGACAGAACAGTTTAAACGCGAACGCATGACCATCGTCGCTACCTGTTGTGTTGTTAAAGAACTTGATGTGCAAAGCATGAGAGTCTGACTTATGGCATGGAGGAAGAAAACAGTTGGAACGAAGCAATGCGATAGAAAGAAAGAAAGAAAGAGAGAAAGAAGAAAAGAAAGAAAGAAAGAAAGAAAGAGAGAAAGAAAGGAAGAAAGAAAAGCAGTGTACAGATATGCCCAAGCCCCTTCGCCTGGCCCCCTTTCCCGAGAGAGCAAGGGTACACACGGGATCCAATCAACTCTTCATGTTTTGTTTGCGTTTGGCTTTTTATACGAAAGGACAAAACGATTGAATGATTGAATAACTTGAATGTGAAATTAGATATAACATGCCTCCAGAAAATTGCTTTTAATGTTCGTATTTAAGCTGTCTTTCGTATCGTTCTTGTACCCGTGTCTACTATGTGACAGGCTTGTCAGCCGCCAAGCTGCTGTCCGAGCGTGGCATTGACGTCACCATACTCGAAGCACGTGGCCGGGTCGGAGGCCGCCTGTTTACCATAAAGGTGGGTGTTTACTTGTTCGAAGTGCTTGCATGAGTAGTGTATAACTATGTCACAGATGTCGGTAAAAATGAAAAATACCGAAGCATTATTGTCTCCTAACAAAGCTGATCAACGTACGACAATATGAAAATTCTTAAAATGACATCATTAAAGAGGCCCTGTAACACTTTGTGAGCATGTTCAGAAAACGGTGCTAAATGTTATAGCGCAGCACGCAGCCTGAAATTCACAATAAATTTACCTAAGTCACCTAGAAATTTGCTTTCTCTTCTTTCGACAAATGACGGAAGACGCTCAAAAATCACTTGTAGAAAGCTATCTGTCAGCCATTAGCTGATTTAAACATGGTGCGCTCGGTCGTTACAGGAATCGCCGCGAGATGCCGCGACTTTTTCATGTATGCACACGCAATCCCACTAAAAAAGCCGCGTTTCGAAAAAAAAAAAAAACTCCCAAGCATTTTTCTGAGGGTGAACATGGTTAAGTGCGAATACACGGGGTGATGCTATGAGGGGTATTTATTAATTCGCACTATTATATTTATTAATCACACTATGGTGCCTTTATGGTGTAATGGTTCCTGGGAATCGCAATTTGATCACACGGGGGAGTTTACGTTAACTCACTGGCGAATGCCAACGGATTTTAACTTTACTCCCCCTCACGACCCGCTCTCGACGGAGACTGAGAGAGAAGGCGGGCGCGCGAGAGAGAGGGGTGCGCGCGCAGCTGCAGCGAGTGAGGAGAGCGGAGGAGCGAGCGAAGGGGGAGGGGTATAAGGCGCGTTACTGACACCGATATCAGCGTCGCGTCCGTGGCATATTCGGTAGAGCGTCGCGCTGCGGCCCGCCAAGTCCTCTTTCTTTTAAAGATAGAGAGAAGACTGCGGACGCCGCCGACGGCGGTGGATGGTTTGGGGTCGCTTATAAAGTGTATTCACACTTAAAAAAAAGTGCTCAAGGTTACGAGGCTCCCGTGACGTTTTTCTTTGCCCATGCCATCCCTCCTTGTTTAGCTTCCAGCGCTTTCCGGTGGTTTGTTAAAGTTTTTAAGACTGTAAACAGTCTTGAAAACAAACCGCCGGAATCAACGCGGTGATAAACCCCATGTCCGCACCTTTCAGCTTCACTGAAGAACTTGTACTAAGTGCTTCAATGGCACATACAACGAGATAATATACTTGCGAACGGGAAATGCAACAAGGATGGCGAGGAGACCCACCGCATCTGCCGAGAACGACGACGTGCCCGAATAGATTTATGGAAGGTGTAAGCACTCAGTTAAGGGAGCTTCTGGCTCGGGAGTTTGGAAGTCCGTCTCGTGTCTGCGACTGCCTGTTGTTTAACGATCAACCGAGACACAACACAGCATCACCTAGCTAAAGCTTAGCAGCAACCGGGCAGCAACCTAGAAAGCCTAGTATCACCCATAGCTAAAGCCTATCAACAACCTAGTATCTCCTATAGCTAAAGCCTTTTGTAACAACCTATAAACAACCCAACGTCATCTAGCCAAAGCCTATAGTAACAAGGGAAGCAACTGAGAAAGAACTAGCATTACCTAGATAAGACCTATAGCAAAATATTACAGATGCAACCGCACTAGTCTTCAAAATTATCCGGCTTCGCTGTTTCAACCACTGAAAGTTTCAACCCCCCCCATTTTCGATCACTTAATTTCATTTTAATATACTTCATGATTCCAAGACTACAATTGAAGACAACGAATAATATCGTCTGATGCTTTCCAGTTGGCTAAATTGTCTGTCGGATTCGTATGTTTGTGTAACAAAGAGACGGGCTTCAAAAAGCTCTTTAACCATACATGACGTACTCCAAGAAAGAGTTGTGAGAGGTGTGTGAATAGCGAACTTTAGAACCGAATCAAATAGGAATCGAATACACATACAAATCGAATAATATTCGAATAGTTTACGAATAGCAAAGTTACCATTTTCAATGCAGCCATACAATGGCAATGCCACCGTTATTGAAACAGCCCAAGAACTCCACAGTATCTTCTGTGAAATTAATCACTCTGTATAGAGATGGGGAATGAGATTAAGATTCCAGAAGCGAGGTAAGAGAATAGCAATAAAAAGAAAGAATATAAACAAATATGAAACGCGCTAGTAAACTTGACAAAAGATATTAATAACCATGGCGTCAGTCTTTGGACATGAAATATTCAATCGTTTAATCTCTTCGACAAGGCTATATTCAGAAAGGTAATTGAAGAGCGACTGTCAAACCCGTCTCTGTTTCGTTTTGTCGCGCAACGGGCCTAATGTGCTGTGCAACGCATAACAGTTTCAAGTATACGGTACTACTGTTACGTGAGGCTGTTGCTGACCTCCCCTCCCCCTTCTCTCTCTGCAAAGAATGATTTGGTTGGCTGGGTGGACCTGGGTGGATCGTACGTGGGCCCCACGCAGAACCACATCCTGCGTCTCGCCAACGAACTGCAAGTGGACACGTATAAGATATTCGACGACCTCAAGTTGCTGCACTTCAGCGAGGTACGTATATACGCGTGAAGACGCGAGCCCATCCGTTTCACCTCCATCGCCCGCTTTCCTTTCTTTACTGCATTCCTCCCTTTTTTTTCTCTCTCTTTCTGTCCTCCTATTTTCATATCCTCTATCTATTTCGTCCTCCCAAAAGAGTAGGCAGGCGTTGTGCCTCTCCAGGTGGCAGTTGTTAGCCTGGGCGCTCCCTCATTCCCCTGTGTCCTTGTGCATTTTTGTATGCAGATCAAATAAATAAATGCATAGCCTCCCATACACCATATATGAAGCTTTTTGCCACCATACCAATTACCATAGCCTGCTATATAGGAGATGGTAAATGAGGTGTGGCGGGATTCCGTGTGTTTATATATACTCACAGGGCAAGGCGTACCCGTACGAAACCACGTGGGCCCACTTCGGCCTCAATGACCCCCTTGCATGGTTCGACATCAACTACGTCATGCGCAGGATGGACATTATGATGGAGCAGGTATGCAGAACGACGTTGTAATTAAGATTTAATTAGGTGACCTTGGGGCAAGAGAAAATGAGCTAAAGTGGCACTGCGAGACATCACCCATTAAAATTTCGAGGTAAACGACATCAATGCTGTTAGTTTCATAGCCTCCCAAACTTTAGGAAAGGTTTGTAATCATAAATTGTAAAGATCGAGAACGATAATTGGTTGCACTTATAATTCAATCACCGCTGCGGAGGAAAACTGTGCATAAGATCGCGGCACCTACATTGTAGGGAGAGACGTACGCCTGGTAATGAGGAAAGGAGTATACGTAGCCCGTTCTCCATTACCAGGTGACGTCAAGTTAGCTCGCGCCCATTGTGGACTGTTGCGACCGGCCTATGCTGCCCCTAGAGACCCGGGATGAAGATGCCGAGGCAGCAGGAAGGTGAACAGAGGGTTTATTTACATTGCGTACATGGCAAGCGCTCTCTCAATTGATCTGAGTGGCTCATTAATTAGAGTCATTATAAAGGGTACGTTCTACTTTGATCCTGAAATCGGGGAAAAAGTGCAGATTGCACTGTCCAATCACGTGTCGCATACAACTTCCGAGGGTGACGCCCACACCCACCCAGGTAAATGGCCCCTATTGGGTCGTGGCCAGTCCACTGCACAAGTCGCACGAAGGGGCTCTTCCTTGTCTTTTGAGCGCCGCTGGGTGAGGGGTCCCACACTCAGACGACAAGATGTATCAAAAGGGGCTGCCGCAACAAAGTTCAAAAGGTCCGCCGATCTGCTCGCTCAATTAGCGGGGCAAGTTGTCGTTGCAGCTGACGCCGCTGTCTCATCCAAGGAAGACGTTGCGTCTGCGGAAACCATTGTGGTCTTCTCGGGTAACTGTTTATGGCACCTGACGGCACGATGCCTCGCTTTGCGGCTAGTAAGGACAATTATTACATGGCAGACATCAGGCCGGCAGCCCTTCGGCGACTTCTTTGACGAAGGAAGAACGCAGCTCCCTCGTCGGCCCAGGCGCCGGTCGTAACAGGACCAAATAGTTATCTCACTCACTCACATGCAAGAGGAAAAAAAAAAAAAAAACTAACTCACATGCAAGGAAAAAAAAAACAGCACAAACTTGGAAAGCTTGTGTCAAATACTTCGTCGGAAGTATTTTACACCAAGTTGCCAAGTTCGAAATAAATCGCAAGTGGTTTCATCGTGTATCCAATTAAGCACACTGCCTACTATATATTATGATTTTATAGACCTCGCGATAAAACAATTTTGCGGCTCCAAAACTTGTTGCCATAATATTCAGTCATATATGTCGAACCATTTGGCTTACGTTGACAGGCACACGAAAAGAAACGGATTGAGTGTCTAGTGTACAGTCGATCCAAGTAATTGTTTCAAAAGTATCAGGTTGTGAACCAAGGCTGAATTCGCAAGGCCTTTCTTTAGTGCCCTTTATCGTCGTATGCTTTATTATTGCACAAGAATCACTTTAATTTGTTTTCGTGAACAATTACAGGTTAAAGTGAATTATCTTTTTGTTGGTTTCTAGGTTCATTTAGGTCCTTAGCTTAAGTTAGGTGAGTCTAGGTTAGGTTAGGTTAAGTATAGCTATTGACTTCCAAACATAGCTGCTGAAACATACAAGTTTTGCAAAGTAAGTTATTCATTCATTCTGTAAATGAAACTTTTCTTTACAACAACTACAGAACAACATTAATAATAACAACAACAACAACAACACTAATAATAATAATAATAATAATAATAATAATCAATAATAATAATATAATAATAATAATAATAATAATAATAATATATAATAATAATAATAATAATAATAATAATAATAATACTAATAGACCAATTTATCACGTTGCTTGATGTCACACCCATGGTCCTACTTTCACTGCCCAGAGAGCATTCTTACCAAATATCGCGGAAATCCGCTACGTACAAAAATCTCCAAACTTAAATACTTGTATCTTTTATATCATGAGCATTATAAAATATCCAGAACAGAGCATCCACTTGAACCAAGAACTAACCACCCTAAACAATACGGCTACCTAAGTGTCATAACATTATTGAACACGATTTTTCCGTCATCTACAGCATTCTGGAATAAACTGTCATCAGCTGCTGCGAACTGTTATACCATAGAATCACCAACTCAAGATATGAAAAATATTCATTTGTCCTTAATGGCTTATCAGTACGAGGATAAATTAACTGCACAAGATGACGAGAGGTAATGAGTAAGTGGGAACTGCTTAGCCTCCCCTCCTTTCACATTTCTCCTATTACCTTCCTACAGGGCAGGATGA